AAACAGGAAAAAAAAAAAAAAAAAAAAAAAAAAACACGTGTTATGTGTTCACCCAAGGAATCCAGTAAAAAAAAAAAAAAAAAAAAAAAAAAAAAAATTAGTCAAATGCAAAGTCAGGAAAAGTCGGAAAAAAAAAACAATAATATAATAAAATGAGTCACGAGAACCACGACGAAATGGTGAAGTGAGGAGGGTGGCGGTGGAAACGCTAAATGTAGAATGTCGAGGTAATCTCTCAACTTGCATACAATGATCTGTATGAATAACTATTCGTAGGGACATACACCCTATTTGTCCTTTTTGCCATTCGCTAATTGGTGATAACTCCCCCGTCCGCACATGCACACATGTGAAGGGGGGGGAAGTGTTGAGCAGAGCCGAGCGGACTGAACCAACCAATTTGAGCCAAACAGGTGCGTACCTACCGTGCAAACATGTGTGCAGTGTTGTAGTGAGGAAAAAAAGGGGGAAAAACAATTAACGACAAACATATGCCTCTTTTATTTTTTGTTCCATTCTGATTAACAAGTCGCTTCGCTCCATGTTTCATCTTTCCTTCCGATGTTGTTATCCCGTTTGTACGTGTGGGCACGTGCAGATGGAAACGGACACCCCGCATGCACGTACAAACGGGACAACCTGGCAATAGCACCAACGGATGAACGTCCCACAATGCGCGGTGGCCAACTTGGGAACCTTTCCTGTCTTCATTCGCAAAAAGGCACCATGGAAAGTGGGCGGAAGGGAAATGCGAATTATTATTTTAAAAAGAGTGCGACAAGGTCTATTGTCACCGCGATATGGAAAAAAAAAAAAAAAAAATAAATAAATAAAATATATACATATGTATAGAAAAAGGTGGATTAAGCAAAACCGGATTTACAAACCACTTAGCCTACTCGCGCGAACCCTTCCAGATCCTCAAATAGACCGCGGGACGCATCCCGATAAGCATTCACCGAGTATGCCTATTAAAATGTACTATGCCTAGGTTTCTCAATTCCCCGGCATTTCCCTTCCTCCCACGCCTTTTCCCCGTCATTGCTCCCTCGCCATATTTGGCCTCTACAATTTGGACACGAGTATTCGTATGGACTTTATTTTTATTTTTTTTTTTTTTTTTTTTTACCCGTCCGCGGTGTCCCCATTTTGCACTCCTTTCCGTACACACACCTGCGGGCGTAGTGGATGACTCGGTGAATTGAATTGAGCTGATCTGGGTTGAGCGTGAATGGACGGGATGTGGAACATGCCCAATTTCAATCCCGCATGGCATTTTTTAAAGGGGATGTTAGATGAGGCGGACGCAACGGCTCTCACTTTACCTGGCATATGACTAACCGCCTTGGGGTAATTCTCCCCTCCGTTGTACTCAATTTTTGCTTCTTCCATTCAGAGTGGAGGAATTCACGTAGGAGGAGGCGTGGACATGCCTACGTGGTGTAGCAAAAGTAGTCAGCATTTTTTTCTGGCAAGCGCATAGGTTTTTGTTGTTTTTTGTTTTTTTTTTTTTTTTAACCCCGTAGAGGCAGCGCGCTGGTGAAGCGGTTTATCCCAGCAGCGTTTCTCTTCCAATCTGGGTTCACGTCTTCACCATACGGATTGCAACGGGGCTCTACTTCATTGCTTACATTAGGTTGTGTGTCAAGTTGTAACGTGCCCACATTACCCCCTCTTTGTATACGCTGTGCATGATGAAGGACAGACGAGGAGTGGCAGCGGACAGAAGCAAGTCTGTTTGCCGGACTCCATTATCGGCCCGCACAAAAAGCACCTACGAAAGTGTGCTCAAGTGTGTAAAGGAAAACAAAAATGACCAAAAAAAAATCAGGTACTCTTTATTCCTAAAGGCATACGAAAATGCAGAGCTGATACAAATGGAAAGAAAAGACAAGCAACAAAAATTAAAATTAAAATTGAACGAATGGAACATGTGGAATAATTGCATCGACGTGAAGGGGGAAAAAGAGAAACAAAGATTAAAGCTACTGAACATGCTAAAAAATTATGAAATAAAGTACCAAGCATATTCCAACTTAAAAGCATTATGTGATTATAAAATATATTTTAAGAAATCCTCATTTGGCCAGGTCATGAAAGATTCGGAAGCTCTTTTACAACATGCACACAGAGACAACTTTGTCTACCACCTTGCTAGCATCGGTGTGTCCTACAATGATGTAATTCTAATGTCGAGCATTTTTAAAAACATGGAACATTTGAAGAATTGCAATATTTATATGTTACCTTGGATATACAGGAAGCTGAATGAGTTTCATAATTTTAATGTCACGACTTTTCTAATCCATTGTGTTGCGTACTCTCTTTCCACTTTCCCGTGTTCACTAAGTTTGTTTCTTCAATATAGAACCTTGGCTATTGTTTTTCCTTTATTCTTTACCTACATGTTTTTATCACTTCCTTTTTTGTTACAAGAAATAAATTGTGGTCGGTTTGTCTTGGACGGATGCATATCTTTCTTTATTTCATTCGACTACTACCACCTTCCGATCGGAATCATCCTCATCATTTCTTACCTCCTGTCCATTATCAACTGTGTAGATATTATATGTTTGCAAGTGATTTATTTTTCCTTTTACCTGACCCCCAATAATCCATGGGTGTACCGCAACGTGGACACTAAAATATGTTCCAAGTTCAACGGGAGCCACAGCATTTGCGACTTCGCCAGAAACATCTGCTACTACAATGAGGCCACGGGCGTGTGCGAGCTCAACCGGATCAAGCTGGTGAGGATGAGAAGCGGCGCGAAGCGGCTCACAAGTTGCTTAGAAACCGCTTCACACCGCTTCTAACCATTCTAACCATTATAACCGCTTCTAATCGCTCGAACCGCTTCACACCGCTCCCCCCCGCAGGGCACCAAAATCTACGACACGCTGCTGAGCAAGTACGCCGAGCCCAAGAGCGAGAAGTTCGCGCACGCCACGGTGCTCCTCTCCTTCCTCCTCCTCATCCTTTACAATTCCTTCTCCAAGTACAAGACTTCGCACAAGATGCTGAAGATCCACCTGTCTATCCTGATCCTGGTGTTCGCCGCCTTCATAATTACCATGCGTGATTTCACGCTTTTCGAGTTTCTCCTCGTAGACTTTACATGGGACCGAGTGAGAGGCGTGCTGCTCGACCATGAGGTGTGGATTGCCTGCATGATGCACTGCACCATGAGCATGTCCCTCCACTCCGGCATGTACTTCTACACCTCCAAGGGGCTCAGGTTGGTGTGAACGAGAAGTGCGCCCGGATGTAATCCCCTTTGCCGCGCCGCTTCTCATCTCATCTGCGCCGCTTCACTTGTCATCCCCACCGCAGGGTCGGCATCAACGTCATCTGGTGCACCTACCTCACCGTGCTGTGCTGCTTCCTCCTGGACATGCTCCTATTCGTAACTTTCTCGAACATCATCGGCATGCATATAAAAGACATAGCAAAGAATTACTCCTACTTGGTCAAGCTGGTGAAGAGAAACGTCTTTTACATTCTAGTGCCCGTGGGAAATAATTTCTACTCCAAGTTCTCCTCCTTCCTAGGGATTAACATAAGCATAATTTTCTTAACCTTCATGTTATTGGCTGCATCTAAGAGGATAGAAATTCTGTTTCTCTCATTTGACGACATATATTTTTTGAAGCCAAAGAATACATGGCTCGACATCAGGTGGGTCTTCCTCTTTTTACTTTATTACCTGTACAGCTCCCTGGACATAACTTTCCTGGACCTCTTCTTCACAGAGATGTCTCAAATTATTACCCTGTTAATTATGTTCTATATTAATTTTAATTTTTTCTGGGTCCGTGGATTTAAAAAGACGATGGAAAAATTCGGCAAGTATCCCCTCCTATGCCAATTTGTTCTTACTGCATTAAATCAGTTTTTTTTTTTCTACTTTGAAATTATTTTTCGTCTTCCAAATCGAGTCACACTCTACTTGCTGCGGCAGGGTATTAACATTTGCGTCATCCCCCTCGTCTCGGTGCTGCTATGTCGGTGCACTTGGTTCGCGGGGCCCATGGAGATGCGGCAGGGAAGCGGCGTCAGGCACATTCTGGTTAGTTAGCCATTGAGCGGACGGACGAGGGTTGCCGCACATTGCCGCATGTTGTAACGGACGGGCGAGGATTCGCGCACATTGCCGCGGACAGGCGCGCTGGTTCTGCAAATTACTTATCGCACGCGCTCTTTTCCCCCCCCCCCCCCTCAGACGGACGCCTACGAGCTCGCCATCGAGTGCACAAACCAGTCGAAGAACATCCAGCTGGAATTCAGCCAAACGTCCAAGAGCGCCAAGTGGTTCAACCTCTACATCATCCTGTTCTGCAAATACCTGGGGATCGACCTGGTCTTTATGTGCTTTTTGCATGTGGGCAGCAGCATTTTTTCCATAAAAGGAAATTTTTTTAAAAAGAAAAATGTACACCTGCAAACAGATCCCTACCTCCTCTTTTTTCTCCTCTTCCTCTGCTACATCTACATTGTGTACATCAATGTGCCCCTGCTGCAAATTATTAAGAGGCGCAAGTTTTTTCGAGTTAACAACTTTAACGTCCTCGACTACCCCACATGCTTCGAGGAGCCCAAGCGCCCGCGCAGGGGCCTTCCCTTTGAGGAGTTTAAGCGCGACTGATCATGCGTCTGCCGTGCCAATACTCTCCCGCTTTTTAATAATCCAATCCAATTTAATGTAATGTATTTTTTTTTTTTTTGTTCACAAAAACGTAAACCAACGGGGGCACAAAAATTAAAGAAAAAAAAAAAAAAAAAAAAAAAAAAAAAAAAGACACAACCTTGGGTGTTACATGCAGATGCGGCCAGATAAAATCCCGCGCAATGGTAGAGGGAGAGCGGCCCTACAAAATGGAAAATTTGTCTATTATTTTTCGAAGTAGAGGCTTGTCTGGGTCTACTACCCCCTGATTGGGAAAGTCACCCCCCAAATGTAAGGAAGTGCCGAGGGTACTTTTTTCCCCCCGCCCAACTCCAACCGCAAGGTCATCCTCCTCTTGCGCACCATGGACAAGATTGTTTCTAAAAAAAGGGTTCATTTTGTGGAACACGATTTCTTCCTTTTTATTTTTCATCCCATTCAGGTCGTATATGTTGTTTCCATTCCTCATGGTGTAAATGTCCTTATCCACATATCTGGTGTTCTTCCTTTCAGGGCTTCCTCCTCCCTGCACCACAATACCTCTTCTCTGCTGCATGGGGTCAAAATTGTGTGCTCTATTCATATTATTTGGGTCCATATAAGTTGGCATCTTCCTCCCATAGTAGGGGCCATTCTTCAAGGGAGAGTTGGCAAAGCTGCCTCTCCCGCTCTGCATTGTGACCCCCTGCGCTGCATTATTATTCATTATTATTACATTTACAGAACTCAAATCTTTTTGAAGCGACGAGACGTATTTGTGTGCTTCTTCGTTTTTTAAAATGGCTGTGTAGTTGCTGTTGAGGTAGACATTCTTGTTACTCCTTTTCTGAGCATCCACACTACTACCCATTGTGTAATTGATGTATTCCATTGGGGGGGTATATTCACACGTCGCTCCCTTTAGCTCGTTTCCTCTTATCCCCGCCTCCTTCATTTGTCCATCCTCACGAAAGGCAAAATTTCCCGTCGCTACAGTCCTGATGGGCGTCACCACTTGGCAGCCGTCTAGGTGGGGTGGAGCACCTGCTACCGACCTCCACGCGTGGGGGATAGGCTGAGCTAAGTGCCCATGCAACCTAGTCGCCTTCTCCTTTACGTCACCATTCCGTTGGTAGGGCTCCCCCGCCATAAGCACACTTCCCTCCTCCGCCGCTGTGTTATCCCCCGCGCAGGTCAGGTCCTCCTGGGAAGTCTCCTTCGAGCTGTTAACAAACGCAACGTCGTACCGCCTCGTGTCATCTTCTTCACTCCTCGACAATTCATTCTTATCTCCCTGAGCAGGGCACATCAAACTGTCCTTTTCGTTTTCTCTTTTGTGAAGCTCCTCCTCCAACACTTGATTAATCTCCAATCTGATTCGAGCAAAATCTCTTAGCGAATTAGGGCACAGGGAATTCTTCAGAATGTCATTTCTTAACTTGGCTGCCAAATCACAATCGAATCCACACTCTCCTAAATCTTTTTTATCCACATTTTCTTTTGCCATGAAACAATTATATGCTCTTTCTAGTTTTATCATTTTAGACAAAAGGTCTAGTCGCTCTCTTTTCACTTTGTTGATTCCTCTGGTCCGTACTCCTTTGTATCCTTCGATGATCGATTCCATTATGTCTTTGTCCACTGCTCTTGCCAACATGGTTCGCAGTTCTTCCTGTGTGTAGAGAGGGAGAAAACACGGTGTTTAAGAGAGGGTATGAAATGGCGTACGGGGTAAAATAATAACCGGTCGTGCCTAATATGCCGCGCCACCACATGCACAAAAAATGTACACACACGGACGCATTTCTGCCCTCTGTGCTCTTCTCCCTTGCCTTAATTTTTTGCGCGAATATTTCGTCGTCCCGATCGAGCTCCTTCAGCTGGTTTAGGTAGGCTGCAGGGGGGGGGCGGCGGGGAGGAGGTGAACAGAGTGGGCGCTGTTAGCACAGTCGCTAGCGTGTGCAGAAGTGGGTAGCGTGTGAAGAGCTGCAACGTCGGGGGGATGTGTCCCCGCGCAACTCAGGTAGGCACCTTGCTGCTGCTCTATGTACGGCTTCAATTTGACAAAAAATTCATCCACGAACGAAATGGTTTTCTTAAAGCTCTGGTTCCACAGGGTCTGCGGCTTGAACGTGCACTCCTTCTCCTCCTCCTCCTGCTTTCTGCGGTGAAGACAAAGGGGACACAACAATGGGGTTACCACAATGCGGTTACCTCCGAAACGTAGCCATCACGTGCAACGGAGATGAGAAGTAGGGGCAGTGGACCATTTCAAACAGACGACGCAAATATGTTTATGTAGGAATGTCCGCTGATCGATGCACCAACTTGGTTCTTTCCCCGTTGCTGTTATTCTATTTTGTTTTATTTATTTCATTTTTTTTGTGCCCCCTTGGAAGGGTCTCCCCTTACTGCTTCTCCAGAGAGGCCTTCAGCTGCTTGTTCATTTCTTCCTTAATTGCCTTTTGCTGTATAAGCTGCGCAGAGGGGGTGGGAGAATAGTCACAAGTGGAGCTTCCAAGGGTGAATCAAGCACTACTCCCCATATTAACATTCCCCAGAGGAGCGATTTTTAGAGTGAGGAAAGGAGAGGTGGGGAACACATTGGCAGGTCCACAACCTATGGGGTGATAACAACTAATGCGCAATTGAACCCCCTTTGGTAATTTTTTTTCTAGACTTACGTTTCTCCATTTTTTGCCCCACAGGATGTCTTGCTTCTTTTTCCTTTTAAAGGCGAGAAAGGGGGGGATTTTTGTAGCGGACATGAAGCGGGCACAACGAATTATTTTAAAATGAGAAAAGGGGTATATAATTCACAGATGTTGTCTGCACCGCCGATTTGCAGCGAATTTATCGTAGCGCCTTTTTGTGCATCTTTTTGATTATTACTTTAGAGAGTTCATTTTTGATGTGCCGTGGGAGGGGATTTACGAGGGGGTATCCTTTCTGCGGCCTCTTCCAATTGTATTTTCCAACTCTTGCTGTGGCTTCGGTTTTCGATAGGCGAAGCGGCAGATAGGAATTTGACGGAGGCGCTTTCTTCCTGTCTTTTTCTAATTTGGAACGACAATGCTGCGCAAGCGATCGCGGGAACTCCGCTCGGAGTTAAAAATGGGCAGCGGTTGGAGGGGTAACGGGAAATTACGCACAAACAAGTGTGGCAAAACAGTTTGCAAAAACGAGGACGCGGAAACGGGGGTTCCGATCTGTCCGTTTCTACTCAAAAGGTACGTCTCACTTTTTCTACGCGTGAGATGTACAAATAAATGCGTCTCACGTTGTGCACACTGGACAACGTAGATCGAAATAGTTTTTTTCATGTACGGTGTACACGTATCTATATGCTAGGGGAGGGGGGCTTCTTCCTTTTTATTTTGCCAAAAAAAAAAAAAAAATTTATTTGGAACAGAAATGCGAGTTCTGCGTTTTTTATTGGGCATGAAAGGGGCAGTAAAGTGGGCGGCAAATTTAGATGGACAAAATTAGGACAAATTTAGACGGACAAATATAGACAGACAAATTTTAGGTGACTATTTTGGACGGAATATTTTTGTTACGTCCCCTTTGAAAAAGAGAACAGGTGAAGACACGTGGCACAACATGGCACGTGGTGTGGGTGAGCGCAGGGGCCTCGTTCGTGACCCGCCTCCGCAAATTTACCCAGTGGTCATATCGCCCCTTCGCCGATTATAACTCCTTTCCTGTCCCCCCTTAGGCATTGAAAAAAAAAATAAAAATAGAGCAAAAAAAAAACAAAAAATAAAACAAAAATAAAGCGAAATAAAACAAAAACAAAGCAAAATAAAAATTAAAAACTCCTTCCGCGGTATAACGTACGAGCTTCTGCCATCAAACGGTGGTACCTATTTGTAGACATGAATATACTTATGTAGACTGGGAAACAAAAATTCCACACTCCATACTTGTGTGCATAATTATGCACAGTTAGGGTAAATAATTTCAAAATGAAAAGTTTCTAAAGGGGTGTGTTTTTATCACCTTGCTGTTGTTTTAACTTTTCAAATTTTAATGCCTGTACAAATTTTTTTTTTTTTTTTTTTTTTTTTTTTTTTGTGCTGAATGGCAAGGTAAAAGTGTGTACATTTTTTTTTTCTTCGCCGTTTTTTTGTCCAAGTTGCACACATCGTGACTTCTGTACTGTTTTAAACTTTTGTTCTGACGTAGTTTAGCTAACCTTTTAACTTCCCGCTGCACAGTTTCTACATTTTTGCGATAGCAACAGGAAAGGAATATTGCTAACTCGATGCATAGGGCTTATGCAGCATGGATGTGTGAATGTGTACGTTCCAAAAATGTCCGTATTTTTGTTCTTCGTTGGTATTTCAGCTTCGAGCTAAAATGCAACACTGGTGAATTCCTTTTTGCCTGAACAGGTCAGCTTTTTTTTTTTTTTTTTTTTTTAATTGCCATTTCCTACAGCTGCAATGTTTGTAAAAATGGCTCACCTGTTTAAGAAGTATACGCACCCGTTAGTGCGTGCAGGGGTTTGTCTTGCCCCCCTCCTCCTGTGGAAGGATGTGGCAGCGTGTGGCAGAATATGGCTAGGACAACCCCACTTTGGTAAAATCCTACTTACAATCATCTGTATCAGGCTTGTTATCATGTTGTGCTGTTTTGCTGAGTGGGACAAACCCCCTTTTTCACTACTGCTACTATGGGCATGCAAAAAAAAAAAAAAAAAGTACCATAAGTAAACCATGCTGTTACGAGTTCAGTGCATACTCATCACACTTTTTACATTTCTCTTAATGGTGAACGTTCTTTTTTAAAATTAGAGGTACGTATCATCACGCTGGGAGTAACCCCCGCTGCACACAGTTTATAGGCACTTTGTCAATTAAGGACAAAATTTCCTTGGTTTTTTCAAAGGGTTTTTTATACCCGTCTACCACGCCTATGGGGGACAAGTAAATTTTCACTTTTACTACACATGTATATGGACGTGTTCGTGTAGTTTTAACTTAAAAAAGAACAAACATTAGAGAGGTGGCCAAGCGGAGCACAACCGCAGGACCAACCACACTGCAAAATGACAAAAAAAAAAAAAAGAGGCTCACACATCGGTGGCACGTACGCAACGAAGTAAACCATTTGCAGCCGAAAAAGTGAGCTGCTTCCCCCCTTGTCATTTCCAGTTGAGGGCCCATTCGTGCAGCTTGTCCACCACGACGGGGAAGAGCGTCTTGACGGAGGAGTTGATGACACTCAAGAAGTAAACCTCCGCGGCCTCGTCGTTTAAATCCAGTCTGAACTTTTCCTGAACCTTGAGCACACACAACTCGGGGCTCATTTTCATGTCCTTCAATCCAGACTCGCACATGCATTCAAGCAGGCTAATGATTAACTTGGAGTGGTAGCGCAGGTATTTATACGCCAGACAGCACTTTTTTAAAAACTGTTCATAACCGACACTATGGGCTCCACCCATAGCTTCGATCATTTCTTTGCACAATTTCATGGGGGGAGAAAAGGGCTTAGGGTCTTCTCCAAATATGTACCCAAAGTCAATGTGGAAAAAACATCCATCTCGTGAAACCATAAGGTTGTCCAAATGTCGATCTCCTATGCCCAGTAAGTAAGTGATGACACTATACCCTGCACAGCTGGAGATGAAATTTTCCAAAATTGTGACATCAAATCCGAGAGGACAATTCGAATCCATATTATTTTCCATGAAGTATTGTCTAATTTCTCCTTTATAATTCTTTTTAATAGAAGATATAGATTCTGCATAGTTGACAAATTCGATAAAGCCATCATCTGTGGAAAGGGCGAGAACTTTGTAAAGAGTTAATTTCAAATCCAGTCCATACCGTTTCCACATGTTATCAATGATGCATATTATCTGTATGACCAAATGGTCTTGTCTCAAATCATCTCCCGCTTTGTAAATGTATTTCTTAATGGAGAGTTCATATATTTCGTTGTACTTCTTTGCGCGCTGTTTATTGTGTGAGTTACTTTCCGACTCGTGGTGGATCACCACTCCTGCGTTTGGGGGGGAGCCTGCACTTGGGGCGGCTTCACTTGGACACTCTTCCCTTGGACAATCTTCACGTGGACACTCTTCCCTTGGACACTCTTCACGTGGACACTCTGCACTGTCCCCAGGGACCCATTTTTGCAAGCCCACTTTTTCCACCTTCCTCCCATCATAAAAAATGTTTTTGCCTTCCCACTTCACTTTTTTATAATGATGCTCAAAATCGGATGCACAGTCAAAGGAGCTATACAGAGATTTTAAAAACTTAGAGTTGAACGAATGGTACATGGAATAGTTTTTTTTTTTTTTTACATTTTTTTTCAAATACTTTTGTTCATTAATTATCAAATTGTGGAAATGCTCATGTGCCAATTTTATTTTTTTTCTGACCAGGCACGCTATTACAATTGGGTACAGAGAAGATCGCAAAACGTATGACTGTTCAGGTAAAAAGCTCAAAAATTCTATATCTGGATCGATAGGCAGAATTAGCGGAGCTCTGATTCTTTTTATCTTTTGCTTCCTGACGAGACTTATGGAGTCATCCAGGATGTCAATATTATTGTCCTCATCACTGTATGTTGCGCTCAGGAAGAAATCGAAGTTGTCATTTAGCTGCAGGAGGTTGGAGAAGAAGGAGGTGTCTTTGTTTCTCTCCATAGGGACCCCCCTGGAGTCGTCTATATAGGTGACAGTTTTGCTGTCCTCCGTGCTGACCTCGGAGGTTGATCTGTGCGAGGCGGGCAGCGCCCCCTGCGCGATTTGCGCACCCCGAGGCTCGTACTGGAAGAAGTAGGTGTCTGCCCCGGGGTCCGCACAGATGCTCAGCTCGCCGTGTAGGTAGTAGACGGAGTTACACACGTCGCTCTGGTGGTGTACTGAATCGGCATCTTCCTCGCCCACGTGTTGCGCGGGAACGCCTTCTTCCTCTGCTTCTGCTTCCGCTCCGTCCGCTTCTAAATGTTCCGCTTGTACTTGTTCCACGTCTGCCTCTCCCTGGCGCGCGCCCCGGGGAGAAACAAAATCGTACACCTCATTGTCCGACACGAAGATGTTATTCTTTATAAAGTCTTTAATCACCACGCAGCCGTAGTTCTGTCGATAGCAAAAGAGGAACTGCCTCAGCTTTTTCGTTTTGTTATGGATCCGGTCAGACTTGCTCTTGGCAATTTTCGTGAGGTACAGCAATTGGTTCCTAAATCGGTTTTGATTTTTCAGAATAGATAAAATTTTTCTTTTTTTTTTTAAATTCGAAGTCATTAATTTTGTAATGAATAATTTATGTATGTGGATGTAGAGGTTCCCTTTGCACTTGTCCTTGGTCTCGCTTAACAAAAACCAATGGAGAAAAATGGAAAGCTTCTTGGACGTGATGCACTTGTTAATTAATGTTTCAATAAACAAATCGTCAATCGGCTGGTGGTTAAAAACTCGAAGACTTTGCACCAGCTGAAACAGATACAACTTTAGTTGATCCTTTTTCGCTTGCGCAATTATTTGCATCACGTACTTTTTAATAACTGTGCGCTGGAGGTGGCAGTTTAACAATTCAAGGCAATTCTCCAAAGAAGGCTTAGACCAATAATTTAACAACTGCGTGGCTTCATCCTTCTCTTGCTGGTTGTCCCAGTTGATATTCTTTACAAATTTCCCCAGGGCGTCTTCCCTGTTCACTAACTGAAGACGGAATTTCCATAAGCACCTTTTCTCTGCTTCATTTAGCTTAATTACTGGTGTGTTCAAAATGGTGTTTATCGTTTTTATTTCTTCCATCGCTGGAGCTGCATCGGCTGTGTCATTCCACCCACCTTCCCCTTTCTGCAGAGAAAAGTCAAACGGGTAATCATCGTATCTACTTCTGTTCGCCAGGTGAATATTTTTGCTGATGCGACTTGCGTACTTGTTCATATGATCGAATATGTCGTTTCGCTTTTTTTCCTTCCCTGGACCCTTTCCCTCCATTCCTACTGCACCCAACGTTTCATTCCTTTGCAGTGGTTCTTTTCCCACCCTGAGAGGCCTCTTTACCCTTTTCAGGAAGGTCTCCACGAGCAAATTAGTGCCCTCCCCTGACGCGCCATCCACTTCACCCACATAATCGAAGGAGTTGAAAAACCAGCTACTTCTATAATCACCGTCATCGCAATTATCAGGGTGGCAACTGGTTGGGCAAGACTCCCTTCCATCACTTCCCCCCTGATCGTCCCCTCCCCTCTTGTCTCCATAGTATACACAACGTTTGTTAAAAAGACAAAAGTGAAAAAAAAGGAACCCAGCGATGTGTCTCTCCTCCTTTGTCTTCCACTGGGCGTACATTTCTGATATTCGTCTTAGGGATGCCGCCACCCGGCTCCGCTTCGGCAAGGTCTCCTCAAGGAGATGGCCAGGCTGACCACACTTATAACGTCTCCTTCCCCCGGCGCAAAACAATTCCCCTTCGTACTGGCGCACCTTCCTCTGCAATATTTTTACCTGACTGGTCATAATTTTTTTTTTTTTTTTTTTTCCCCAATGTTGGTCACACGAAAGGTAATACAACCTTTGTGCTTTCGTTGTTGTTCCTGTATGGGTGTCTTTCCCAAGGAGAATCTCCCATGATGTCCCCCTTTAACGTTTTCTTCCATCACTTGGCGCTGGTCCCCCGAATGGCAATTTGTCCTCCCCGCGCGAATGTAATTCTCCACTGGGGGGGCGCCCCATCCAAAAAAACTTTTCCTCACCGAACGTACGTAACGTTCTACACGACTGCACTGTTTCATTGATTGGTAGAAGGTGTCACTTGTTTGGAGGAGGCAAGGGTTTCCTCCTTCTATAGGATATATCAACTGTTCGTGTCTTTTATCAATACGCACGGGGGTCGTACATTCCAGTGCGTCCTCTGGGCCATCCGTCCCATCACCTACATACACACGCTTACGAACATTTCGCTTTTTTTTTTTTTTCTCCAATAAAGGCAGCACACTATGATGACTGTCCCTTTCTGAGGAGGCTTCACTTAGAACATTTTTCACACTTCCCTTTCGAGGAGTACGGTACAAACATAACAAATCGCGATACACACTGTTGTCTTGCAAAAAGGAAATTATTCCCTGGTAGGAAGTACCCCTCGTAGAATTGTTATCATCCACATGAGCAATTTTTTTCCTCAACGCGGAGGTAATGACGTCCTGAATTTTTTCCTTCCTTCCGAGATGATACAACTTTTTAATTTGAAGTCCCTGTTTAATCACACCACTGGGGGAGAATACCCTACAGTAGGAATAAAATTTCCAATTTTTTTTTTTTTTATGTTTGATGAGAAAAAATAAATAGCTGTCTGGACTCAGCTGGGAATGCCTAATGGGATAATTTAGGGTTCGATTTATTGTATACAGGTTCCTTCGTATCGCTTTCGTTTTTCTGTTTCTCGGTATCGTCGTGGAGTCCTCAGAGAAGTTATCACGGCTACTTCCACACTTAGCAGTGGCACCTTCAGGGGGCTCTCCTCCCCCACTGGTCAAATTATTACCCCCCAATGTGTTCTCACAAAATTGCTCACCTACCCCCGTCTCTCTCTTCCCTGAAATAGAACCGTTCCTATCGGACGTGCGTAACATCTGCGCCAGATTTTCAGAAATTCGATCATCATAGTTGTTCCACTTGTCCTTTTTTTTTACTCGTGTGGATTTCTTCATGTCCTCCCCCAAAGGGTTCACACCCTTTTCACTAAGTCGGTTGGCATGGTGGCTGTTTTTCCTTGTGCCAAATCCTGCACAGTTGATGCTGACCGGGTGGCTATAAAACTCCTTGTCCATAAGAAAATAGCAAATGGCTTCAAATTCTTCACTAGACATTTTCTCCTCGTTTGTATATTTACCATGTGGAGGTTCTTCTCTCCTTTTATATCGATTTGACTTGGAGTCTACTCCGCTTGTTAAACCTACTCGTACTCTGGCGGTAGCTCCTTTTGACTGAATGAGGGGCACCACTCTCCTTTTTGAGTGTCCCCTTCCTGGATGAAGTCTTTCCTTCCCATCTGCTGGTATGCTCAGATGCTTCTTTTTCCTCTTCCTCTGGAGGTACTTGAATTTGTCCAGCCTCTTCATTTTACGCAGCAACACGGCCTTGTCCCCGCCGTTCGGGGCGCTCGCTGCATCGTCCGTATTAGCGGCGCCTCCCTCGTTTGCCGCGTTAACAGCATGTGCGATATTTGCCGTATTGGCGGGGGGAGAGGAGGCCGCTTCCCCCGGGGCGACGCCTGGGTCCTTCACCCCATGACTACGTCGCCTCCTCCCTTGCACATCATTTCCATGCCCACCTTTAAAAACCGTGAAGAGACTTAGCCTCACGGAGAAGTAATCTCGTATGTCTTTTATGTTCCCATTACTCATCTTGCATTGCTCAAGAGTTAGAGGCTTCACATTTTTTTCTCCTCACTCTCAAACCCCATACAGGGAAGTATGATTGTAACCCCTTTTTTTGGTTACTTCTTAACCTCTCTTTGGGGCTTTCCCCCAAGTGCATTCTTTTTTTTTTTTTTTTTTTTTTTTAACAGGCTAGGGTTATCGCGTAGGCAACGGAGTAAAAGTGTTACAGCATTCTTGAGGGCTTTTTATTTTTTTGCAAGATGTTCCCTCTTCTATGGACATGCCTCGTTTGTACTTGTGTTTTTTCACCCTTGCTTTCTCCCTCCC